CATTTCCAGACAACGTTGCTGACCACGGGCAACGAAAATAGAATTAAATAAGGTGAAATGAGCCTGAGAGAGAGAAGGGTGTGGGACCGAAATGAACCGTGTAGTCTCCCTGCAGAGGGTCCCTGCAGAGGGCAAGGGTCTCTGGCTCGCACCCAAACCCCAGACCGACTGGGGTGTCTGGTTTCTATCTCCAGAACAGGGAGCCTCTCCCTGGCTGGGTTACGGAGTCTTCATTATCATTTGGGGTCTACAGTCCCCTCCACAATGCAAATCAGTCCGGCCTAAGCTGTAAAATCTAGTCAAGACAAGGCCCTGCCCTTATTCAAAAACTTGGTTCCCTGTAAAACTAAGCATACAAATGTAATACCAGCACTTAGCTATGGAGGCTGGAGGATACCTGCCCAAAGACAGTCCAGAGTTGCCTGCTCAGAACACCCCATTGACCACGGCAGTGCACACACACTCCGCCAGCCTGGCTGACCCCAGTGAGGGGCTCTTATCCACCCAGAGGTCACTTTCTGTCTTTATCCTAGTGGTGTGAGATGACGCATTTGGTTACTTAATGTTCTCCAGCTCTTGCTGGGCTACTTGGATGGCTCCTTCTGGGTTAAATACTGTGTGCCACGTACTCCACCTGACCCTACGTGGACCTCAGTCCTCCACATCTCTCAATGCATGTTCTCTGGTGACAAGAAAAAGAGAGAGAATTTTAAACAAATTATTAAGGAATATCAAGCATCTGTATAGGAATAAATTTGATGAGTAACATAATTAGATATTTCTTGGAAGAAAACCTAGGGGTGGCGTAACATAAGAAACAGTTGGAGGCCAAAGTACAGAGGACATTGAAAAAGTCATTCAAGAGTATCTCTGTCTCACTTGTCACCTAAAACTAAAATGTTTGCAGTTAATCGTTTTTAGAATTTCACAGAATAATAATACCCTTGTGCAAATTTTTCTTGAAATTCAGAAGCGGCCTCCTTGCATAATAGGATTCTTTCCTGAGAAACACACAGATAAAGATAATTATAAGACAATATCAGCCTTTAATATTGGTGTGAGAAGGCTTAGATGAAATTTAGTCATAAATTTTTTTTT